GAATGGCATTTCTAGCCCACGGTATGCCTGAGATATTAAGGTTCAGCTTCTCACGAGTTGAATACAATTGACAAGTAGCTGTTGACAGCGTCTGCAGAGAGACGCAGGGTGCGACAACCAGACGTGCATTTCTGCATTCAGTTTCAAACAAATAGAGCACCCTGTTGTGTTATTACACTGTTGTATTATGTCGATATTAAACAAATTGAAGGAACTGTGGCGTTTTATAATTACAAAGACGTTTTCCTTCCAGCGCCGTACTGACAGAGCGAGAGACGCCCAATATTAATATATATACAGCACTTTGTTGTGTTATTCCACTGTTGTATTATGTCAAGATTAAACAAAATGAAGGAACAGTTACGATTTACAAATATGCTTACGCATCCACACAATAAAGAACAGGAGAGCATAATGTGGATGCTTTACAGCATCCACACAAATATTTTGATATCTGGACAGTTATAGTCTAATACATGTTGTTCAGTTTGTTAAAAAAAACAGTTTGTTTTAGCACTGTAGTGTTAGATATAAAGTACAATCTGTGCAATCTGTTCCTCAAATACAATCCATATTTTTAATCTCTCTGAGACTCATTTAGATGCAGCTTTTGATGATTTTGAGTTGGCTATGATCCTTGTAAATTATTTAGAAGAGATAAAGACAAGTATGGGGGTGGTGCCGCTTTTTATGTGCAAGAATTTATAACAGTGGTCCCCAATGGATGATATTGATTGCAGAGATATAGAAATACAGTATTATTGTTTTCTGACCTAAAGCCAAATCTTAATGGTGTTATTAACAACTGGCTTATCAGAAATACTAGAAGTTGTAATAGGAAGTTGTGAGCAAACCAAGGAATACAGAGAGTAACGTCTCTCCATTTGAACCTAAGGTTAGTCATTTGCAGTAGTTTGACTTTTGACTTTTGAGCCTCAAACATGAACTAACACAAAAATACTTCTGACCTCATATCTGATATCTGACTAGATTTTTTATTATTATTACTAGATATTTTATTATTATGGGATTTGTTGAACATGTGTTAAACCCTATAAGATCTATACTGCTTCTGTCTTTATGTCCATCTCTTCTTGTTTCCTCTGAGCAGCTTGAGCCTTCATCACTTTTATACACCACTGCCACACACTCTGCAGATGACAGACCTACTGATCTCTTTATCATCAGTTTTTATCTCTACTATAGGGATCTCCTGTCTTCTTTCCCTCTCTCTCTTTCTATCAGTTTCAGTTTCATCTGAGCCTCCTGTTTTCTCATTTGAGAAAACTTATATCCAGCTTTTCTGATTCTATTATCATTTTTTTCTTTCTCATCCCCCAATCACTTATTAAAATGATTAAAATGATCTTTATGTGTATCAAAATTCAAAAACTAAAGTTTCATCTATTTCTGTATTTTTTGTCTTTTCTTGTCTTTTACATCTCTCTCTTTCTCTCTCTCTCTCTCTCTTACACACACACACACAAACCTCCATTACCCTGTAGCTCACTGCCTCACTGCACCAATGTCATCAATATCCTCAATCAATGACAGCATTGATTAGACTTACCCATCTCTGGTTGTCTTGTTGCTATAATCAAATAATGCTTCTGTTTAAATTATCATAACACAAATACACTAACCAACACACACACACACACACACACTCACACTTCCTAAAACTGCTGATCACAGCCTTGCTTCGTCCAAATTATCATTACTTTACAATCAATTCTGGTATAGATCAAGGTTTAATAGAATCAACCCTCATGGTCAAAACAAGAGGAAGCTGGAGAAGAAAACTCAGAATGTTCCTGCCCCTTCTTCTCTGTCAGTCAGTTAGAATTTAATTGACAAAGCATTATTGACATGTGTTTACTCAGAGTATTACAAGCACTGGGACAGTAAATGAGGAATGAAAATGGAGGTGAGATAGCCAAAATGAAAGAAAAAATACAGCAGAGATGTGATAGACCCCAGTGCATCCAGAATGTGCCATAGCTGGATCAAGTGCACTGCAGTATGCCTCACAAACGTCTGAAAGAACACATGCTTAAGTTTCAATCAATACTGTCTTCACCAGCAATGTGAACAAGTTGGTCTTTATGTGCGTAACTGTGGCCTAAAGTGTATTTTTACACACTAGTGCTATGGCTAAACACGTCCAGTGTGACACTGAAGAAGGACAGATGCCTCTCTTCTCCATTGGTTGCCTGCCAATCTCACCAGTAACACTCAAGGAAGTCATTAGTCCACCCAGGAAAGAGTCCCAGATGGTCGATAACTCCTCATACAATTACAAGTGGTAGCTTTTGTATTTCAGTTTATGTCTGAATAAACACATGAACTCTAAAGAAACTGAGTGAGAGAGAGAAAGAATGAAACAAACATGGCATGCATAAGAAGGATGCACACACACCCACACAATCTTTTCAAGCCTGTCACAGATACAAGACCCCTCACTGTTTGTGTGTACAGTATATGATACATTGTTGTGAGGACACTTTGGCCAGCCCTCACAATTTCAAAAGGCTGTTCAGGTTAGAACTACCTTTACATTTACATGTGCATTACATATACCATTGAGTGTCCTCACATCTCTAATAAGACCAGTGTGTCTGTATGTGCAAGTGTGTTTTCTGTGCACCTGAGGCTTTGCAGTCAGACTCCCTGCAGTTTCATCTGAAGGACACAACATGAACTCTGTCTGCTCTGACTGCTTTGCTGTCTGTTTGTCCTCCTCTCTATTTACAGTAGCTCTCTGCTTTGCCTGACTGCCACGTTTTTCTGTTCGGCCATCTCCCAGTAATATCTTTGGGTATGTTAGACCACTGGGGTCAGCACTGCAGGGCTCAATGACCATATGATTCTACTGTATCTGATTTTAGCATGGCATGTCCTTTTTGTCAGGGTATTGTGCTTTTGTCCATCTGTTGGAGGGGCGGTCAGCACCACTACAGCCTGGCTCACTGAACAGTCTGAATCTCTGTTTTTTTATATTTTCTGTGCTGTTCACGGTCCAGTTTACTGACTGCTTTGTCTCTCTGTTTTAGCGGTGGTCAGTGCTATCCCAGTGCCAGCTCTGGACTCCTCTCAGTATCCTGGGATTCTCCCTTCACCTTCCTGCAGCTTCACACACAACAAGTTCAGCCTAAGACCAATGCCTTTCCCCAGCCTGACCATGGACAGAGGATACACACCAGGTACTGCACTACTACTGCTAGCTATACTCCTGATGCTACTGTAGAGAAAACACACCAGACAATACCAATATTGAAAATACTACTGAGAAAAATTACCATCACAGTTAATAGACAAGAGGAACATCTGTGGTTCTTGTTGTTGCCAGTCATTAACATACAGTATGAACAGCTACAGCATAAGGCCAGCAGGCCAAAAGGTGTGGTAGAACATGAAATGGGAATTTCCAGTAGTCCACAGAAATGTCTGCTTGTTTTTCACTAAACACCCTTCCACTTATTTCCACATACAGTCTAAAATCTTCAACCAGGAGGTAGAAAAAAATCAAAGTAGACAGGAAACCAGAAACACAAATACTTAAATCAAATAAAGCTGATGTACTAATCCAAAATGTAGGTGAAAACAACATATTTCATATAGACTTTGTCTGAATCACATTAAACGTTGTGGGTTTATGGACATTTTAATTTGTTATATGATACATGTGAAATTGTAGAGCAAAGTGAATTAGGTACAACTCAACATACAGGAAATGGAAAGTGTGTCTGCCTCTGTCAATTAACAGCATGGACACTGTCTAACTGTGGCCTCTGTAAGCTTTATAGACCAATATTGGTGCTGAAATGTGGGGGGGGGAAACCTAGGCTTTTGTACCTTAGGTAGGGAAAAATCTAGGCTATTGTATCTTAGGTACAGGCACCCACTTTTGAGATGTCCTTGTACTTTATGGCATCTTTAACAAAGATGGAAAAGAATACAGGAAGATCAGTGACCAACTAAAATGAGTCACCGCACTTTTGCGGCAGTAATCAGGAGATATAGAGTGAGCCATCATACCACTAATCAGACCTGCAGTGGCCATCCTCCTAAAATGACACCACGGACAGTTTGCTGCTTGCACAAACTAGCTCTGAAAAACAGATGGGCAAGTGCCTCAGACTTGGCACAGGTGCTATCAGTGGAAAGCAGAGTTTCTGTGACAATGCAGACAGTGCAAAGGACATTGCATAACATCGATCTTTATGGATGGCATGCAAAGTAAAACCCTTTGCTTCCTCTTCTGCACATAACTGCAAGACTAAACTTTGCTACAGAACATGAACAAAGCATATTGGGAGCACAGTCTTTGGTCAGATGAGACCAAGATACATTTGTTTGACCAGCATGTTTGGTGTGAACCTGGCCGGGAGTACTACAACTACTGCTTAGTCCCCACAGTGAAGTACGGAGGTGGGAGTGTGGTGATATGGGGCTACATGAGTACAACCGGTGTCGGAGAGATGTCATTTATACATGGCACCGTGAATGCCTGTGGATATACCAAAATACTGGCTGACAAGATGACTCTCAGTCTCCAGAAGAAGTATATTCCAACATGATAATGATCCAAAGCCACTGCCAAAATGACACAAGAGTTTCTAAAGGTGATAAAGCCCTGGCCAAGGAAGTCACCTGACTTGAATTCAACAGAACACCTTTGTGGTATGGAGATAGAGCTCTGGCATTAACTAGCCAACCCCTTTGCCTTCCTGCCATTCCTGGTGTATGTTACAGGCATCACATGATGCAGTGTGACACCACAAATGTGTATGCAGGCTGCCCATAAAAATAGAAAAATTGAAATGCAATACTAACTGCGAGGAATTTGACTTACACACAACTTTTTGATGGCTGTAGTCTCTGCATGTTTCTGCTGTGTGTATTTGGTGCTGCAGTAAAAGAGTAAAGTCAGGTAAAGTCACAGCATGCGTACATGACAACGCTAGCGATATGGTGCTATATAGGGGTGGGGGTGATCTTTGAAAAGTTGTTGAATAGTTACCAGTAAATGTCGAATAGTATTTTCGCTTGAAATGCCCATCCCTAATCCTTTTAGTCTCGCAGGTCCCTCAGACTCACGCATGCTAAAGTCTAACATCCTCAAGGTCAGCATTTTGTCTGCGTCGGAGTCCTTGCATTCTGAACAGCTGAATCTCTTTCTCAGAATAAGTTCGCGCCTAACCACAAGTGACCTAAGTATGTCACTGTAATTCATTCCGAGATTAAAATAAACTGAAATCAGTTTACATTTGTCCATAATTCATAGACACACCACCAACTACTCAACAAGTAAGTCGTAAGTAGTGGCCACAACTTACCGAGGTTGTCCCCCCATATCACCAAAGGGGCTCCATACTATACATAATAATGCAATCTTAATTAAACAAGGTTTACGCTGCAGCATCTTAATCTTCCCAGCTCTCTCTCCACTGTTCCCCACCTCTCCTCTCCCTGTTGTATTTAAACCCCATTATGCAGCAGAGCTAAATGCTAAACGACATGGTGGGGAGCAGTATTTCAGTAATTGGCTAATTCCTGGCTTGTTTCAGTGATTTAACAACAGCAGAGAGACCAGGAGAAGCCTCCAAGTCATTGAATTAGCCGACACACTGGGAGACCTGATCACTGTCAGCGAAACACACACTTACTGTACAATGAGTTGAAGGCGGGGTGGGGTGGGGCATGATAGAGTGAGGCAGATGATGCAGAAGCTGCAAGACAACAAATTTAAAGTCATACTAACAATGAGTTACAACAATGCGCATCACTGAGTGAAAGATCGGATCTGTTAGACGTTTACTACGAGTCCCAGATTGTCTAATGACAGAATGAAGTTACTGCAAATGTTGACATCTCTAGAAACACAGTAGTTTTCTGATATTTCAGCCAATTCATTGTGATTTTGGATCAATTTAGCAAAAAAGTGATTCAAAAATATACAGCTGTGTGGAGCCTGTGGCTCAGCTCAGCTAAGCCAGTTGTCCACTAATCATGGGGTTAGCCCCTTTTCTGAAGTGTCCTTGAGTGAAACACTGAACACCAGCATGTGAGTGAATGAATGCTAGACAAGCTGGGAATTGCTGGGGGAAAATGCTCTGTATTGTATAATTACAGTACATTTCCTGTTTACGTATATGGTTACATAGCACTAAATGGAGATTCCTCCTTAGCAACAGCAGATTCAGATCTCCTCAGCTATAATGCATCACATACAACACATGCAAACAATGGTGGACAGGCAAGATTGAACATTTGGAAACACAAGAGTCAATGAAGACCAAAGCAGTGTTAAAAAGAATAGTAAATACTGGATTTAGCTCATCGGGTGGAAACAAATACAACTTCAGTTTCGAGTTAGACGCTGAATGCATTTATTTCCTCATCAAACATTTTCTTTTTATCATTTTGAAACCTGTATTATAACATCTGCTAATGGTCGGTCAGTGGAAGACTGTGGAACGGAGGGAAATCATAGAGCCCCCTTTTCATTTGGTAGACATCAGCAGCCAGTTAACCATCACACTAAATGATTTGATGAGCAAGCTTAGCTAGGAGCTGATGTCTCTGTAGCTGGTCTGACCTCTTTGTCTTCTTAAATAAATGGCCAGTTTTTGTTTTGCAACCCCTTGTTGGGGTAAGTACAGTCAGCAGTATTGCACAATGCATCACCAGCTTCCTCATGCATGTGTTTGTATAGCTCAAGATACAAACAAAACACAGACTCACATACATATCAAAACATTGTCTTTAACTCCAGCAGTGGTCAACAGGCTACTTTTAAGAGAAATTTAAGAAGACAGAGTTTGAAAGTTAAATGACAAAACATATGATTTAATAATTCTGCAGTGATATGATGTGTGATGTAGTTTAAGGATGACTGTCTACAGTGTGATTAAAGATCCTTGTTTCAATGCTGACAGACATTTAAATAAAAAGTAAACTTAAAATGTGACTTTACAGAAACTAGAGTAGCTCAGTTCTAAAAATAGGAAGTGATATGTCTTCAGTCTGTTAGAAGTTTGTGATTCTCTGCAGACACTGAAAATCAAAACATTTTTAAAAAGTCAAGTTTTATTTACATAACCCAATATCACAAATCCCAAATTCAGACATTGTCACAGCATTCCCTGGCTGTTATCAGTTGTTATCACACCCATAGTTATAATTAATTAGGGGCAAACTGTGCCTACCAGTAGACCAGTAGGTATATTTTTCATAAGTAGATCTTTGACCTGCTGTGGCCATAGTAATAATGACACAAGCAAAAGGACCAAATTAGGTAAAACAGTCTACATATAACAACAAATAAAGAGAAACTCCCCAAAAACCCTTTAACAGAGAAAAAATTATGGAAGAAACCTCAGGAAGAGCAACAGAGGATAAATCCCTCTTCCAGGAAGGACGCACGTACAATAGATGTCCTGTGTACAGTATACACACTAGATTAACAGTATGGATGATGGCAGAATATTAGATAAAATAAAGTAGATCACAAATGAAAGTAATCACTGCTCATTCTACTTCAACATCTTTACCCAGTGGATATAATATTTCTCCTCACATACTTTATAACATATGCTAACTGCTGTTTTCCATTAAGCTGCTGTGAATCACCAGCAGAAGCTCTTAGAAAACACATCTCTTCTCATTTTCAACCACTCAGAATATGAAATAAAAAAAACAGCGGTGTTATTTAACCATGTTGTTGCAGCCCTCCATCACTACTAGGATGAAAATGAGGTTTTGTTCTTAAATCTGAAGTGTGATGGAGAAGAAACAGGCAGTGCAAATTGAAGATGAAGGGCTGGAAGTCATACCAGGGCTGATGAAACAACTTACACAAACACACATGAAACAACGCAAAGTGCTTTCCTCTCTCTTCTCTTCTATATTTATTGACCTTTCTGGTTGCTTTATCTTTTGGTTTTCTTCTGATTCTTCTTCTTCTTTAGTTTGTGTGATCCCCCCTCATCATAAAACAATCCAGACTGTTACTCTGATATCTGGATAACAGTAACAACAGTGTGATAAAAGTGTAGGATTGGGGTCAAGAATGTGTGCTCTTCAAGTTGCAGCCTAAGAAAAAGGGTAATTGGTGAAACATACCACATTTCTTGTTGTGATTTCCTTCCACAACAAAATTAGCAGCAATTCTCTGTGGTCTCGTCTTCATTCCTCTCTGGGTGGCTATATGTTGAGGATGTTGTTGCACATTACCCTGATAATAAGAATGAATTGTCATTTTGTTTCACTTCATTTGTTCAGCCTGATTTTGGCAAACTTTTTGTTGGAAGGGATGGCATTTTATGTTGTTATACCCATCAGTGCAGACCACTGTACCCATCCAATCAATATAATTTTATTCAGCATCGAAATTGAGCAAAGAAGTATATTATTTAACAGTTCTTTGTGAAAGCTCTGTGCAGTTGCATCGATCTCATCACCTGTCACCACTTTTGTGTAGCTGTGTTCCATGGCAGTAGCTACAGTAAATGATGGAAGATTATATCACCATTCTTAATCCCACCTGCAAAGCTGCAATTGTTTAATTTTAAAAACTGAAATTAACTATAATGTGTCTAATAATACTGTGCCACATGTAAAACATGAGACTTTGGTATTTAGGCTCTGACCTTATCACTCCACACCAGGGGAGACCAGGTGCAGTGCAGCACAGAGTAGGGAGTGAGTTTCATCCTTCCATCCATTTGTGGTCATTTTTTATTATTTTTTCATGCATGTTGAATGGTGGCCAGCCTGCTATGTATGAAGATTATTCTTAATCCCTCCTACAAAGCTCTAATCGATCCATTGATTCACTCACTAGTCTACATCTTTGTCAACGTGCACAACATTTGAATCGCTGAACAGCTCAGAAATGTAGGTGGTGTTTCAGCACTTTGGAACCAGGCTGGTCGCATGCAGTGTCGATTTTTACATGGGTTTTGCAGGTTAGAGTTTTGTTCATTTGTCTATTATGGAAACCTCTAGCATTCATAGACATTTGCCTTATGTCTGTCAGGATGTCAGAATGTTGTCTTAAAGACATACAATTCCCTGGAGGAAGTTGGGTTGGAGGGACTGGTCTCCAACTTTATCCAAATAGTCCTTAGTTTAAATTTGGCAACAAAAGTTCCACAAAGAAGTAGCTATTTTAACCCTAACAATGATCTTAGCCACAGAGGTATAATATCATTAAAGGTTTTTACTTTGGTAACAACAATATGGAAGATTTGTAAAAGGCACAGAATAATGATGTTGTCCTGCTGGGACGAAGGAGAAAAACACTAATAAAAAACACTAATAAAGGGTCTGTGGTCTTTCCTTCCCTTTGGGCTTGCTGCACTTTTTTACATCTTTCACTGCTTCCTCTTCAAGCTCTCCATTTTCTTTCCCCTCTCTTCTTCTAATTTCCACCTCATGCTCCCTTAGTCTTCAAGAGGCATCCACATTACTTTTCTCAGCTTTTCCTCTCATTTCTTCCTCTTGTCTCGGCTGATTAAGTAACACACAATGACTAACGTAATTACGGGTTTTCCTCACATTCCCCTGTTGTCTCTGATCAAACTGGCTGCAGCTATATGAGGAGTTTCATCTTGTGTATCACACCAGAGGCATGTTTCTGCATACAATCACAAGATTTCTCTTCTCTTCTCTGCAGCGGGAAGCTCCCCTTCTGCATTTGCTCACATATATTACTGCATCAGTGTGAAGAAATTGAACTACCACCAAAACACAATCAAACTCAACAAACAAAGATAAACAAACTGCAAACCTGGCAGAGCTCTGACTGTCTTTGCTCATTAGGAAAATATTGTTGTAAAGTTATTCAATTAGTTAGTCGAGTTTAAACAGCTTCTACAGATCCACGAGCCATTCAGTGCAGAAAAAAGGATGATGAGTTTTTTTTTGCTTTCTTGGAAGAAAAACAGGTAAAAGAAAAGACCATAAACAAACATGACCTATGAATGGATGTGCTTTCCTCCACAGGTAATGAAATGCACAGCAGAAGAGCTATGCAGACAATATTTGCATCAAAATTCCTGACAGAAACACATTTTAAGTCCTAGGCCTTCCTGCAGCAGCAGTAATTTACAAAGTAGTGGCACATTTTCTCAGTGTATAACTGCCTACATCAAAGTAGAAACTGTCCGTGAAAAATCACTGAAGCTCTTTAGGATATTGTTGCAGAATATTTACACCTTTGATGTTTATTTCCTTCAATGTTTTCAGTTTTTTCATGCTTTTTTCCAAATTAGTGTTCACACATTACAAATGTTTCAGACTAATTGAATGTTTTGTGTTTTGTCCTTCCCTCTGATCATCACCATTTTTTACTTCATCCCATCCCCAAATCTCCCGCTTTTATCTCTTTTATTCTCTTTTCACCTCCGTCCATCTGTTCCCACTTCCTTCGTCTCCTCCTCCCTCCTCTTCAGCAATGCCCTCAGATTCCTCCAACAATCCTCTCCTCCAGCAGCAGCCTCCACCACAGCAGGCCCCTCCCCTCCTCCCCACTGCCACCGCTCCTCCCGGGGAGCATGTTCCCAGCGTTGGCCCAGTCCCAGGCGCTCCTGCTACTGCAGCAGCTGCCGCTGAGGAGGCCCAGGCAGGGAATGGTCGGACCATCCCAACTGCCTGTGTGCGGCCCACACACCCGCTACGAAGCTTCACCAATCCACTGCTGCCACCGCCCATGGGAACTATCGACCCCAAAGTGTACACCTCCATGATGCCACAGTCCAGTGAGTACAATTGTTTGTCAAGTGTGTTATCACTCGTTTCATACAATTACAAGAAATCAAGGGGTGTGGTCAACAGCAGAACATTTTGTGCCCATTTATAATGCTTTTCTTTCAGGTGGACATTGCATTTTAGAGCCTTTCAGATGTATTTGATCCTCTGAGTGACTGCGGCTCAGGAGGTAGTGCTGGTTGTTCCCTGACCGTAGGGTTGGCAGTTCAATCCCCAGCTTCTCTGGTCCACATGTTGAGGTGTCCTTGGGCAAGACACAGAGCCCCAAGTTGCTCCTAGTGATATCACCTGTGTGAGTGAACAGGTGAATGGGCAAATAGCACTTTGAGCGTGCTTTAGTGTGTAGAAAAGCGCTGTACAAGAAACTGGTTTTCTGTTCAGTTATTTAGTGCCTCAGTCCATTAAATTCTAACAGCCTGTTCTTTTTCCATTAGCTGAAGTGAGAACAGGAAAATAAGGAAAATAATATCTGATATCATTACAAAAACTATATTTATAAAAACATCTGGTTCCTCTGTCTGTATCTGTAGCTTCTGTTAATGGTTTTGCCAGATTCTAGTGATTCTGTTTGAGCTGGATTCTCTACACTGGGCAACTACACTTTGTTTAATATTTTATTCACAGTCTAAATACATTAGCTTCAGGCTGCTATATGCAGTGTATTTGTCTACACAGCATGTGCGTGTGTGTGAGTCTGCTAGATGATATACTGTAACTGGCCTTGACATTAGCCAGAGGTCTGGACTGACCTCTTCTTGCTTTCACTTGCTACATATTCAAAGTTTGGTGATTTGTTTAATATTAGATGGCAGTTAAGTATCAATTTTTGAAACACTTGAACAAATTTCCAGCATGTTTCCACCTTACTTCCACCATGCCCCTTTAACTTTGAAAAGCCTAACATCTGGATAAGGGCATGTCCTGTTAAAGCTTGCTAATCCAGATGGTTACTGCATTTTTAAAGCAGTTTTCTCATAGACATCTTTGGAAAAGGGGCAGCTGTAAAACGGTTGTTAAATTTTTCTGAGCATCACAAACCCCATGAAATGACTCTTTTTATTATCAGAATTTGACCCATTGGTTCCAATATCATTTGGAACGTTTAGAAGAGCCTTGGCATATTTTTATTTTTTCCTCATTCATGTGTGTGAGGAGCCAGTAGGAAGTCAGCCGGCTCGACTGGCAGAAGTCTCAGCTCAGCTGGAGAAGCATGCTAGTGTGCATGCTTTATGGGCCCAAAAATGTGGAAAGGTGAAGAATATGTGGGTAATTTTATGAATCTGGAAGCATGAAAAATTTTTTCAGAGTACATGCCACCGAGCAACTTTCAGAAGAATGAGCTGGGTGCCATCGTGTCATCTGGCATGCAGTTGTCCTTAATACTGTGTATCCACAATGATCTCAAGTGCCCACCAAACAATGGAGAAAAACAGAGCAAATGCAAAAACAAACACAAAAATCTCATTCAGATTTTTAAAATTTTGCACCTGCATGCTCTCAAGTGTTAACTTGCAGAATGAAAAGTCCTCAAATTTGTCTTTTTAATGATTCACTCATTCTTTTGTCATCCATATGCTCCTGTTAAAATGATGTCTGTTTGTAAGGTGTTGGTCCATTTGCCTTTCCCCCATAAAAGGTTCAATCCTCTGAAATTGATTTTTTTTTTTTTTTTTTTTTACTTTTCCCTTGACAGTACTGGACAAAAGTCTTTGGCCATCATTAGACTTGTTGTTTTAACAATAATTTGATGACCATGTATATTTATTTATTTATCAGAACAACCAGAAAATATAGGACATTTCTACACAGTATTTAAAAACACAAAAAATGTCAGAACAAAAGTCACTCAACAAACTGAATACTCAAGATGTGGTATACTCAAGATGTGGTATTGAAGCTGTTCTAAAGAAATATGAAGAATCTGGAGAGGTCGAGGACAAAAACAGGAAGAGCAAGCAAATGGTTAGAATCTGATGAAAAGTTTCTCAGAGATTCTTCTTTGAGAGACCAGAGGAAACCCAACAAGGACCTGGCTCAGCATGTGGCAGCTTCATCTGGATGCCAAGTCGAGCCTTCCACAGTCCAAAGAAGTTCGATCAGGAGCAGCCTCTGTGGAAAGACAGCAGCCAAGAAGCCTCTTTTCAGAAGGGGACAGGGACAAAAGGCTGAGATATGCAAAAGCTCACAAAGACTGGAGTGAAGATCAGTGGAAAAGAATCTTATGGAGCGATGAAGGTTTTAGGCCCAGTTGTCAAGTATATGAGAAGTAGAGCTGGAGAGAGGTGGAAGAACGAGTGCAGCAGCCTTCTGTGAAGCATTTCCTGTATTCTCTGGTTATATCTTAATAAAGAGACAGAGAAATAAATGTTATCATTACAGACTTGCTGAAACAGAAAAACTAATCATATCCTAAGAATTTTACACTGCACTTTAAATTCCTCTCTTAAAGTGTTTTTTTTTTTGTTATATATTTCTCTTTTTTCCTCTCCCTATGGCTCATCCTGTCATTCTCCCTCTGAGTGCCTGCAGCAGTGTGAACAGAAAACAAAACACCTGCCTACAGTACATATGATCTGTGGGCAGTGTGTGTGTGTGTGTGTGTAGATGAATTAGTTGTGTGTACTGCATCTGTGGGCAGTGTGTGTGTGTGTGTGCGTAGATGAATTAGTTGTGTGTACTGTTTTCTGTAGGCGTGTATCACTACAGTGTATGTGTGGGCTGGTGTGTATAGTTTCATTATGGCTCTGTTTACACGCCCAGGTGGCCTCAGATTAACATTGATTTTCAGCTCCTGGAAACCTTTTGCTCAGCAATAGTGAGCCTGTGGCAATGCTCGGCTTGACTCTCAGAGACCCCCCACATACTTTTGTGACCCCCCCCAATCCCCTCATCTCCCTTTCTCCCCAGCATAGAGCCTCAGAGCCAAACGGCAGTACCTCCATCAACACCCCTCCTCTCCCAGTTCTCTCTCAAGGAAGAAAAAACTTGTGAGCAGTGGCATTTGATGTTCATTGTTGGTCGTATTTATGGGTTTGTCTGTGCCTGAAAAGAAAAAGAAAGCAGGGTTTTCATGGTTTAATTGGAGTTGTGTGTGGGTGGTGGGGGTTACACAGGCTTGTAAAGTGAATAAGACACTGCACAGGGAAGAGGTTTGCCTGACACTAGTATCTGGGTTTCGCTCCAGATGTTTCTGGATTATGCAACAAGTCCTCCACCCTGTGCAACCCATAAGATCTTTTGTTCCTTCTCTCTCTCACATGACCCTTGGGAGCATCTACAGTAGCTCTCCTACGCTGGCAGCCAGAACTGCAAGAACTCTGGCATTGTTATGCGTAGGAGACAGTCCTGAAAGCTTCTCTCAGTCAGTAAACAGCTGTGCACAATATTTTACAGAGATGGGCAAAAACAAGTGTGTTTTTCTTTTGTTGTTGTTGTTGTTTTTTGCATATATGCAAAACTAACCACTCAGTCACCATCGCTAAAGTCAGTTTAAAAGTAGACCACGATGTTTGAAAACACTTCCAGTGATAATGTTAGTGATGCCTTTTGGTTGTCGACGTTTGGTTTTGCTAACTGCTCGGGGTATTTTCAGTGTGACTAGCAGCACCAAAGTGTATTGGTAAGTGTATTGGTTTGTCTTTCTAGGCTCATAACTTATTTACTTTTGCAGGTTTCGTGTGAAGCCTGTGGAGGAGGGCAGAGTGTGTGCGCCTGAAGCCTGCAGGGTTGCCCCTTGGATTGTTTAGAATCTGTAACGTTGAAAAACATGTTTTCATGGCAATTTCAATTCCAGCTTTTGGTATTTGAAAATTGTGCTCTGCTAAATCTCGATTTTGGTTTGAGAACAATTAATTGTTAAGCCTATTCACAAGCTTATTCAAGTGCCTATAAACAACTCCGAAACAGTCATACCTGCTCATCTTGCATTTGACATGTTGAAATAGAAAAAGCTCCGCCTCATTACATATCAAGTGTTAAGATAGTATCAGTTTGAGACCACCTTCTCAGCCTCCAAAGCCCATCTGCAGAGTACATTATGACGGTGGGCAGTAACTCACCTAAATTGGCCTCAGTGTGCGGTTTAATGCTTTAAGCTGTAATGGGATTGTCTGACTCACTGTCTGATACTGAGAAAAGACATTTCAGCCACAGCTGGAGGCAGCCACAGAGCCAGCTGTGATGGATATTTTTAAGTGCTTGCCTTCATCTCGCCTTGGAGGACACACATTATTACCAATGAAAAGCTTTACAATAGTTTAAAATGGTTTTCTGCAGCATTTGGATGACTATATGAGACAGATGAAGGAAAGGCTGAAATCTATCATATTTTATGGTCATTCTCAAACCACAGACTTGAGTTTTTCTTTTTTTTTTTTGTCTAGAGGAAGCAATGTACATTCTCCATTCAAGACAAAAGCTTTACTAGTTTGTCCTCAGGGTGACACCACAGGAAAGTTCAAGGGGTCCCTATAATGATTAGAATTCATCAGTATTGTACAGCAAAAAATATATTAGTTCAGCCTGAACACATGTACAGCAGTTATATACAGTAATCATTGTGCTGAGGAATGTGAGCAGAGCAAGAGGTAAATCCAGGTGAAGGATGTGATCTCATATTCATAAGACCTGTTAATACCACCTGATTCAGATGTCACATCAGTCAGTGAATGTTATCAGCTGTTATCACACCATTAGCGGCTGTAATAACAATCACACAAGCCCAGGAGGAAATTAAATGATGTAGTAAACAAAGCAACAAGGTCCACATTAGGAGGATATTGGTATGGATGGATGGCTCAGAAAATGCAAGACTCTCCCCCAAGTGTTTGAATCCATTGTGAAACATTGTGGGTTTATTTAATCGATGACTGGTTGACAAGCTTAACTCTAACCAAACATAACCAAGTAGTTTTTGTGCGTAAAGCTAGTGTACTCTGCGTTTATTATTAGAACCGTGACAACAAAAGTCTGTGGCATGGTAACAACCAAC